AACCAGATTGACAAGAAGTATTCTATTCATCTTACTGATCAAAAAAAGCTATCAAATCAAGAAGACTAAAGTTCTGAAATAGAGTAAATATTATATTCGTGGAATGCTTAAAAGTATAATCAATTCAGTAACTAGTATTTATTAGGAAACCTTGATAGAAGAAGGAATTCGTTAGACCATACTGAAGAATTAAATCCTGATTCAGATTATAGTACACAATGGTTTGATAACTAAATTACTTTATAAAATTGTTTTAGAAAAAATTAAGATAGTGATATGTACTCTCCTTTAAATAGACTTGGTCAGGCCTAGACTAGTTTATATATAGTGTGTAATACATTTACCATATAATAAGCATATGTTTAAATATTATTTTATAGCAAATAAAGAATATAGGATCCTTTGATCATACATAAAAAGATATTTATAAGAAGTTTTGCTAATAAAGTCTTTATACTTTCATTGAAACAATTTGAAGTTTATTCTTATTTATCTCTATTATCCTATCTTACTTATTTATAAACTCCTTTGAATAAAAACTTGGGTCTCTAGTAACTTGAAAATACTTAAGTATATACTTCCTCTACTAAGAATAAAAAAGTTCTAGGAACTAAAAAAATTGACAAATGAAGTGTCACTTTATAGAGTTAGAAGTGACAAAAATAAAGATTTTGTTGATAGAGAAGGACTTATTATCTATCTTCTCACATACTGTCTTGTATCTTTTTAAAGCATTTATTGTTTTTTACAGTTTTCTTGAGAGATTTTGCCTATTTCAATTTGGTTCTGAATTTTTGATAGCACAATGTCACCTGGCATTTAATTGATTGATATAAAATACATTAGTAATAGAATGTAAACAAGCTTTTATTAATAATATCACATGTTTTAATAATATTATTAGTAAATAAAAGAATTAATTGATGCTCCAGTTCTATCCACTTCTTCAAATAGATTAACCTATAAATCAAGTTTTATGATGTCAATAAAATATGAGTAGCAAGTCTTCAGGTAATAAAAAAACTATTATTTGTTCAAGCTGGGATTTTTCTTTTCTATTATCCTGATCAGTCAAAGTTCAAGATCAAGATTTTCTTTTTATTTCAGTCAAGCAATAAGACTGAACAGTCTCTAATACATACTAAGCTTCAATTTTTTGATTATAGTTAAGAATGTAGTTTTTCAAAAGTTGGTAAAGAATATCATAATTGACGAGAATCCCTATCACTTTTTGAAATTCTATTAATATTACAAGGCAAAAGAATTATTGAGAAGTCTAGCTTTTAAGTAATGAAAGACATATATCAGTAAAATTTCTTTAATTAGGTATGACTGTTGGAAGATATTATACTGAAACAATATGGTCTAGTTCTTATTGGGTCATATAAGAACTTGAAATTTATTATAAGTCATCTTTCTATTACAGATAGATAAAAAATCATTGTTCAAAGAAAATTAGAACCAAATATATCCTGGAAGTAAAGACTTTTACTAGGTGATAAGTTTTTTTAGATAATACACAAAAAGGAAATCAAAATCAAGAATAAATAAGTCCTTTAGATGGTTAGAAAAAAAAAGAATATTTCAATCAGGCATTTCTTATTGAGAAAAGGTCTTAAGAAGTGAATCTTGAAGAAAACTGAAAATTTTTTTCAATTTTTATATTTTTATTTTCTTGTTATCTATTTAAACATTTTTAAATATTTTCTTTTCCCTTTTTTCAACCCATCTTTTTGTGGTTTTCTATATTTCGGTGGCTTGATTAGATATTGATAATGACAATCTGTTGGCAATTATATAGTGGATTAAAAGGGTTTTTTTCTAAAGATACTGTAGAGCAAAATATTATTTCCAAGGTTGAACTTAGAGACTTTTATGCTTATGATAAGTTAGTTAGATTAGAATAATAGTTTGGCTGTAGTATACAATATATCATGTTGCTCAAATAAAAATGCACTTATATTTTCAATTGATTAATAAACTGATGATCTAACTTTATTCAAAAAAAATTTCATTATTTGGCAATAATTAAATTTTTCTAATGAATTAAAGTTATGAATTATTTTAAATGAGTAAACCATTTTGAGTAAAAATTATTAAATTTTTTTAAAAGACTTAGCATTGTTTTTCTTTTTTTTTTTTCTTATTTTTTGAAATAATCTATAGTAATCAATTGTTAGCAATTATTATGATAGATAGGGTCAAATATTAATTTATTAGAAAGTAAAATATTGTTTTCTAAACTTGACTTAGAGTATCTAGTTTAAATTTTGGTTTTGTTTAGTTTAATTTAAATCTAGCTTAGTGAACTTTTTATATTCTTTAAATAATATAATTTTTTCAATTAATAACATATAATGATAGTTAATCATTATGTGAAAATCAATATAATATTGTAGATGTTTATTTAATGTCTCGATAAAGACATGCCATAATGGGCATAATTGTGAATTAAAAAAAAATTTTTTTTTAAAATAAATTTTACTTGATTCATTAAAACATTTTTAATTGATAAAATACGTATTTTTTTTTTTTACAAAAGTAAGAAAGATTGAATTTATACTAATACAAAAATTAAGAAAATAAAAATTAGTGAATAGCATTTTTTAAATGATTGGTTTCAAAACTTAAAATTCCTTATTCCCATAAGATTCTGCATATAGTATGCATTTACAATATAAAAATATAGATTTGTTATTTCGCGTCATATCGTATCTGATATTATATTTGTGGGTCGTAAGAATGCATCACAAACGTAATTAATTGGATGGTTCTAGACATGATCGTTTTTCATAATATAATTTATCATTAGAAATTACCGTTCTTTAAAAACCTTTGAAAGAAATTATTGATGTACTTTGACATGTACCTACCTCCATGGATTTACTAAAAATAAAAAAACTAATTTTCTAAATAAAATAAAATACTGTAAATGTCATTTTTTTCAATAAGATATGGAGTCATCTTTATTACATTAATACACATATTTCTTCCTAATTTTCTTTTCTAATAAGTTTGTCACTATAATTCTATGAATTAATATTGATCAACAGATTAACGCGTAATAACAAACGTTCCTCCCTGGCGCATACATTTGGGCTTGGTTTCGATCGCTGCAACGACCATAACTGGTCGTGAAATAGAGTAGGATTTGGTGAATTCGAATGAAAAGCAAAAAGAAGATTTGAAGTCGACATCTTGTGCGATTTTCTTGCAAAGAAAACTGAATTCATCATATCACACGTACAGGCATGTCACGTGCCTTATCAAGACCTATAAAAGAACTTAAACCTGAGTTCTACGCTTTTTCTCCTATGTATGGTCTTAAATAAATAATGATACACTACATGTAGGCAATTATAAACGCGTCATATTGCCATGACCATCGGTGGTTAATATAGTGTAATCATGATATACGACGGATAACAAAATCTGTCGGAGAAGTTCAGATCAAAGTTTGATTATCCAAGTGAAAAGGTCTAATTGACTCATTTTTGCGTCAACCAGGATGTACATATACTGTATATATACAGTATGTACGTATATGTTTTTATATATATATACATGCCTGAATCAGCTGTGAAATAAGAGAAATCATCAATATCGCGATATGACTAAATTAATGGCAAAAGGATAGTCGTATGATCAGTGTGGCATAAAAAAAACGATTTTGCAGAAGACAGTGGGCAAGATGGATGAAAAAAAAAAAGTTTACATGCGCATTAAGATCAATTTCCGACTCGATGTAATTACACATCGAACAACTATTGTCATAGAATAATACGTATGTATAAATAATTTAAGCCAATGTCCGCTGTGACTTAATATCTATACAACAATGAAATAATGAATTGATAGAGATGACGCGAAAAAAAAAAATATAATAAGCGCACACCGCAGTCATTATCTATCACTTTCATTAAAAAGGTCAATATATATATATATATATTTTCGCACAAAGCTATAAATCAACTGATAAATCATTGATTTTTTTTTTCCTGACAAATTCAAAAAAAAAAAAAATGTTGGAGTTTGAGTTGCGTCAATTGATTTTTTTTTTTTTTTTTGTGGTTTCCTGTTTTTTTTTTTTTTTTTTATGGCGGATTAAATATTCTCGTTCCTTATGTTCAGAATTTTGTTCTAAAAAAAAAAAAAATCGTATATAAATCATTTAATAAATTAAATCTTTGTGAGCTAAGGAAAAAAAGAAAGATCAGGACGAGAGATAAAATTTTATTAATGAAAGGTGATAAATTTCTTTCCGTCTCATCTCTTATATAAAAGTTTGTGTGTCCTCAATTTTGCCTTATTTATTTTCGCAGCTTCCTTTTCGTCGATTTTCTTGGCGCTAAATTTTTTTGGAAATTGCTTTTCTTTGTTCCTCTTTGTGTATATATTAACAAGCAATTTATTATTAAAACTCGTCGTTGGCATTCACCATCAGCTAAATTATATAGAAATAGAAAAAATAAAAGCAGCATATATTTTCCCGTAGTCGCAACACCCACGTCATTGTCTTTTTTTTTTAAAAAAAAAAAAATATCTAGAACTACTTCTTTTTTCTACACTGTATATACACTAAACATTCAATGATCGCTGCATTTCCTTTCCAATCGGATCAATATTATAAACAATCTTCTACAACTACAAATCTGATGATGAACATCAGTAACGGTAATTCCGGTGGACCAAGCCTTGGAAATGGTTTACATCACCCTCTATTCCACCGAGAGATGGTGGTTGATCAGGATCTAAAAGATAGTGGTGGTGGTGGTAGTAGTGGTGATGGTGGTGGAGACGGTCTCTTGGCAAATGATTCTTCTTCTGAACCTTCTCCTACGATTCGACCCATTTTTAATTACTCATCGATCATCCCTTACCGTCAGGTGAAACGTCGCCGTCGTCTCACCGAGGAGGAGACAAAAGTTTTGATCGACACTTTCGAGAACGTGCAAAAACCCGACGCTGAATTACGTACCCAATTGGCAACAAAGCTTAATATGTCGTCGCGTGCAATCCAAGTTTGGTTTCAGAATCGTAGAGCCAAGGTAAAAAGGGATGCCCAGGAGTCAAAGAATGCTGCAAAGATGAATAAGCCAAAGAAATTGACCTTGGCTGCCGGTTATTGTCAAGAGAAAAGAATTACTGATTTTGACTCAATCCGTTCCACGTCACCAACCTCCTCGGTGCCTTCCTACACGAACTCTCCGACAGATTCTAAATCGAAGGCGGACCTATCAACTCAAATAATGGTCAGACCTAATACACAAAGTCTCGCGAATATTTCGTTCGCTCTAACTTCGTCGACCAAAAACCATCGAGGAGAAAACGTTCAATCTACGTATTACCCTCAAACTATCTCTAGCAGTAATAATAACAATATGAACAATGACAACAGTGGGGAATGCGATTCCGCAACTGGATTACTTCAACAAGAGGGCTACTGGAATGCACACGCTAGCTGGAATGGAGACAGATCGACCTGTCCTACCGCTTTCTTTGATCCAGAAAGCGGTAGTCTTACAAATGATCAAAGTAAACTCGCGATTATTTTCTTTCTACCCTTCATTCGATTATAATTTTGACGTTCATTTTATTTTATGCGTTAGGATTTGGGACCTCACCTGCCTTGGAGATATCACCATTATCCGAACAAATTTTTGATCCCTTTTATCAAAGTTCTTCCGGTCCCTATTACTGGCCTAATGGTCGACAGGAAATACTAACTTCACCAGCTGGTCTTGGTGTAGAAATATCCACGGGACCTAACAGTACCCCGATCCAAAGTTCCGCTTCATCTTCGAAATTCGAAAATTTGTCGTCAACCATTAGTACCCCTGTCATTATTAACAATCTAAAAAATCAAACCTCATTCGAATATCATTCGCTTCGTAACCCGATTTTTACATCCTTTACTCGTCGCCAGCCTTTGACATCCGTGTTTCCGACCAACTTTACTACACCCATCTGGGCAACTTCCTTTGTCACCAATATCAACCAAACGGAGGATAGCAATGAATCCAGGATCCAACCCATTTCACCATCAATCGAATCATCAAGTTTACATATCTCGGTAGAATCTAGCGATTCACAAAACTATTCACACGAAGATTCATTCCTACCTTCGACCGGAGACATTCATGTTAAAGAAACTATCACCGCAAAAAATACTCACAATTCACAATCTCCATACTCCTCTGGATTCGACAGAGAAAAACCACCTTCGGTTGAGGACGATGGAGAGATTGATGTTTGGGAAGATTTGTATCAGCAGTAGCAAGAAGCGAAGACGAAAGGGGAGATGTGGACGCGAACAAACTTGATCACGACATTTATAATCTTTTTTGAGGGCATGCCAAAAATTTGTGAAAAGGGATTCAGTTCTTAAAGACGGTTTTCTTATTTGTAATTAATGGAACAGGAGATATTTTCCTATAGCATTAGTATTCTTTATTTTGGACATTTTCGATGATGAGAAAAAGCACGTATTATATGCTAGGATCGTAATCACATCTAGAACTTTTAGTACACCCCATCTTTAACCATTAGAATAGTCAAAGAAAACAATCGGATATATAATTAGAACAGAATAAAACATTTTATTAATTTTTTGGTTTACGGGACGGATTTTTCAAAGGGAATCGCACGTAGATAAAGTATCGGGGATACTTGGTAGAATTACATACGTACTTCCTAAATAAGTATACTGTACAATTTACGGAATAAAATCATAAAGAATCACATATTAGTTTAATAATTCGATCAATGTTAAGGTTGAGTTAAATATAATGGTTATTGAGTGCGATTTTATGCACGGTCGGTGAGTAAATAATG